CAGCTTAATATATGCTAAGTGAGTTTGGCCATTTTGATTTTCTGACTCCAGCTCTTTCCACATTTCATTATAATATCTTGCTTTGTCATCCCAAGCTGCCCTTTGAAATTTTCTGTTCAGCTCTTTGATTTTTTTATTTCTTCCTTTAGCTTTGGCTTCTTGGTGCCCTAATGCAATATTCAGAGTCTCATCTGACATCCATCTTAGTCTTTTCTTCCTTTTAAGGCTTTATACTGATCTTTTGCATTCTTCATGGATGATATTCTTGATATCCTCCCACAGCTCACTTGGTCTATGTTTATTGGTGCTCAAGGCTTCAAACCTATTTTTGAGGTGGTTTTGAAATTCGAGTGGTATAGACTTAAGGTCAAATTTTGGTTCCTGTGTATTTGATTTAATTTTATTCAACTTCAGCTGCTGTCATTAAAAAAAGAAAGACTCAAAATAAGTGGCTTTAGAGAATGAGAATTTATTTCACCATTTGATTTAATCCAGCTATTCCATTACAGATTCCATATCCTAAATAAATAAGAGCTGGAACGTGAACAGGTATACGCACATTTATGATTACTGCAGCATAATTCAACTACCCTAATATTTTTTAATGTGGTGTTAAGTGCCACTGAGTCTAGCACAACTTATAGCAACCCTATGAATAAAAGACCTGAACTCCATTCTATAACTATTATCATTATCCTGTATCCATAGAGTTTCCAGAGGCAAGTGGTTTTAAAAATGAATGCCATTCTTACTTCCAAATCTGAATCAATGTTGGAGCTCCCCTAAACACTGTCCATGATAGGTAATCATTATGGCATTTGACACATCAGTGACACAGCATTCAGCATCACAGCAACCCCAAGTTACCTTAGTACAGCAAATTGACAGACAAGTGTTGTACCACTTAGAAGAATGTTCATCCCAAACACAGGCCTGAGGGCCCAACTGCAGAGGCTTCCAGCCTACAGCTCATTGTAAGCTAAATCTGGCAAATCCAATCAGCTCACACCCAAATGTGAATGGAAAAATAAACCACACAACCTAAGTCCACATATGACCCTTATCAAGACAAGAGAAACCACTTTTCCAAATTCAACCACTTCACACATGAGCAAATATTTTTAATATGAAGGGAAAAAAAGGTTACCATCAAGTCGATCCCAACTCATGAAAACATATGTTGGTCAAGGGGTGTTGTGCTCTTTGGGTGGCTGGATTTCCAAAAATAAAAAGAAAGCCAGGGCTTTCTTCTGTGGCACCCTGAATGAACTTGAACCTCTAATCTGTTGCTTCATAGCTGAACATTTTACTGTTTTGCACCCTTTGAGGATTCCTGTACTAATCAGACATGGAGGATAAATGAATATTTATCCTACTTAACTAAAAACATCGAGATTAAAGTTATGAAAAAATTTCAAAGCCAGCATATCTCCAGCTGCACACATATTTAAAAATTTATTTTTATTTTATATTGGTTTGCATACAAAATTCCTATACATTGTCTTTCACACATTCCTTCATTCATACTATGTTTCATATAATCATTCCCAATCATTGTGTCTTATAAAATTAATCACCATAGATCTATTCCGTTATTACTCCATCTGTTCAGATGATTTGATCTGTGAATAAATAGTAAAACCTGTTAGGGTTGTTATAAAACTGAAGTTTTTCTTTTATTTCTTAATGAAACTTCGTTATCTGCAAAGTGAAAAATTACAGTTTCCTCCCACAGTTATGCAGCATTGTGTTTAATAGTAGTTAATATTATTAAGGATGCCCCGTGTTTATTCATGATGAGTAATCCTCAAAATATCATTCTTCAGGATTATATTCCCATTTCATCAAAATGCAAAATTCTATGAATGAAATAACACTGTTTCACATCTTCAATTTTTCATGTCTAACATACAGCTGAATAAACCATAGGGACTCTCATTGAAATATGCCCCAGCAGTTTCTATGCAAATGATAAAATATAAATGTTTTTGTTAGTGATGCATAAATACACTCTGTGGCTTCATGACAGAGAATGATGTCCAGCCTGTTGGTATACGCTTCCCAAGTGGGAGGCAGGGAAATGCTTCAACAAGAAAACAATGTAAAGCCACACACTTGTAAGAAGAATTTGAAGAGGTATCCAGCTGTAACTTCTTATTTTACAAGAGGCTACAGGGTTGTATTTCTTGAAATGGTGAAGTTTGTCTCAGTGCTCCTAGGAATAATGTAGCACAGGAATAGGTGAATTGCAGAAGGCGTGTGTGTTTTGGCTCCACATGAGTGCTCCACTTTATTGTGCAAAACAAAGCTTGCAGTAGCCTGCCTTTTCAGAATCAGGCAGCCATTCTGAAAGAGCAATGGGGAAGCTGTGCACATAGTTGCTGTGTTCTTTTCAGGACTGTGTCCTCTATCATGAGCCTGTTAAGGCACTGGAGACTTGCAAGCCTTAAGAACCAGTTAGTTTGCACTGAGTCAGTTCTGATCCATGTTTGTGGAGTAGAACTGCGCCTCAGGATTTTTAAGGCTGTGATCACTTTGAAGCCTTCACTCTGCACAGCAGGGGCAATCAATCATCTCACTCATGGCTCCATCTTCCTGTTTTCTAGAGTTCTCAGTCTGTCTTCCTCAAAACCCATTAGAGTGTCAGCTATGAGTCATTTCCTACTCAATAACACATACTAACACTTTGTTATTGGAGTTCCTTGGTAGTTTGGATGGTTAATAACTTGGACGCTGACTGAAAGGTTGGAGGTTCAAGTTCACCTAGGGCCACTACTCTTCAGGATCCACTTACAAAACGGTTCAGCTATTGAAAACAAAATGAAGGCAAGATCTACACTGACACATAGGGGTAGAGGGGTGGGGGGAGTTGACTTGATTCTACAGTGACTGGTTTTATTCAGCCTGTGATTAAAGTTGTTTCACAGTAAACAAAGTATGCCAGTTTCAAAGGAGAATCAAAATTTTAATGATTCTTCGACTCCTGAGGAATCATCAAAAGTGTAGGTGTGAGAAAGATTTCTCTGCATTGCTGAAACATTGCAAGATGACTTGGCTTTTAAAATCAGAGATAAATTGCACCCGAGGAATACTTCTCACCCAACACTGGAGGTGGGATCCAAATCCCTGCAGAACAGATAGCTAGCTATACATAGTCATAGTAGAGTATATTCAATGTGATTTAACAACATAACAATATGTACATCCAGTCAAAAATTAATTTCAGAAGATTTTCCAAATAAGATTTAGGAATTTAAACTCATTATTCTTATGTCCAAATCTGTTTGTTTATTCCTATAATGGCACCACTGTCCTCTCTGTCAAAACTCAAACTCAGATTAACTAGGAGTTGACTCAGAGCAGACCCTCCTCTGGATTCTTGAGGCTGTAAATAGTGTGGAGTATGGGGAGTAGAGACTGCCCATCTTCCTCTAGTAGAGCAACTTGTGGACTCAAATCACGAGCGCGAGCTTAGCCTTTGGAGTAGCAGCACCAGCTCCCTACAGATTATTCCACCAGAACTCTCTTTAAAATAGTTGTTGTTATTAGATGCTGTCGAGTATGACCCATAGTGACCCTATGAAAAACAGATATGAACCTTGTCCTATTCTATGCCATCCTTACAATCTCTGATTCCATCAAGTGCATTGCTGCAATCACTGTGTCAGTCCACCTAGTTAAGGATCTTCCTCTCCATCGCTGCCCCTCCACTTTCCCAAGCATGCTCTCCCCTTCTGAGGAATAATCTCTCCTAGCAACATAACATGCCCAAAATATATGATACAAAGTTTCATTGTCTTTTCCTCCAAGATAACTCTGGATGCACCTTCTCCAAAACGTATCTTTTTGTTCCTTTTGGCAGTCCATGCGATCTTCAGCACTCTTCTCCAACTTCACAGTTCAAAGGCGTCAAGTCTATTCCTATCATCTTAATTTTTTTCTAGCTCTCAGATTCATGGATCAGGGACACCTTAGTCCTAAAACTGACATCATTGCTCCTCAGTAATTTGGAGAGATCTCTGATGTCTGACTTTCCCAGCACAATGTTTTTGTTGTTAGGTACCATCAAGTCAAAGATGACTCATACTGACCCTATGAACAAAAAAAAATATCTGAACCTAGTTCTGTCCTGTGCCATCCTCACACTTCCTGACACACAGGAGTCCATTACAGCAATCATCAGATCAATCCACCTGGTTAAGGATCTTTGTCTCTTTTGCTGATCCTCCACCCTTCCCAATATTATGTCCGTCTCCAAGGAATAGCACCTCCTAACAATATGTCCTAAGTATGTGAGGCGAAGCCTCATCATTCTTGCCTCCAAAGAACACTCCGGCTGCACCCTCTCCAAGACATATCTATTATATTGGCTGTCCATGGGATGTTCAGTGCTCTTCTCCAACACCACAGGTCAGAGGCATACATTCTTTTTCTGTCATCCTTATTCATTGTCCAGGTTTCAGATACAAGCTAGTAATCAGAAAGATTATGGCCTGAATCAGATGCACCATAGTCTTCAAACTGACGTCACTACTCCTCGATAATTTAGAAAGTCCCTAACAGCAGATTTTCCCAGTGAAATGCATTTCCTTATTTCCTGGCTGCTCATACCAAGGGTATTAATTATGGATCCAAACAAGATGAAGCTGTTGATAGTTTCAATATCCTCTCCATCCATCTTGTGGTCCTGTAATAAGAATCTTTATTTTCTTGACATTGAGATGCAATCCATACTGAAGACTGCATTCCTTGATATTCTGCAACAAGTGCTTCAAGTCTTCCTCACTTTCAGCAAGCAAGGTTGTGTCATCTGCATCATACAGGTTATTGATAAGTCTATCTCCAACCCTGATGCCACATTCCTCTTCATATTCCCAGTACAATATGTTCTTTGATCTCCTGACTGCTAATGCTAAATATATTGATTGTGAATCCAAGTAAGATGACACTCAATATTTGCCACTTGACTTATGCTGTTGCTTTTTTCCTTTTTTCAGTAGCTCCACCACCGTATAGTTATGACCATGAGATGGAATACTCTGTGGACTTGCCACCACCATACTCACCAACACCACAGGCTGCAGCACAGCGGTCACCACCTCCTCCTTATCCTGGAAATTCAAGGAAATGAAGCTACTTCCAGAGCCAGATATATGACTCTGGTGATCTTGGTCACAATAAAAAATACCTCTACCTAGAAACAGATGGGAAAGGATTACTCTAAGGAATGCTTTTTGGGGAGAACAGACAATGTTTCAGGTAGAAGTTTTCAGGTAGAAGGCTAAGATATAAAATTTTATACTCTGTTCAGTTTGAGTTCAGAGTTTGCCATAAGTAGACCAGCAATCATAAACATGGCTGAGGACAAGGCCTTGTTCATTCTATTATATATAAAGTTATCATGAGTCAAAGCCAGGGCCACAGTACCTACCACCACCACTACCACCATGCTCAGAGCTGATCCCATCAGTAGTATTATGGGGATCACCTTTCCTGATCTATTAAAGTGCTTTAGGAAACAAGTAATCTGACTTACAAAACACCTGAAAATTATGTGACTCGAGGAATAGGTGAAGAAAATAGTAACACTGATACTAGAAAAGACCTATATAGGGCAGGAAAATAGCTCAGTTTATAGCAACATTATTAGTCACTTTTAAAGTTAGAAAGAGGAGTTACCTATCTTTTATTCATCAGTAAAAGCACACAGAATGTTTGGAGACTGCTAGGTGCCAGGCACTTTGATACACTGGATGAATTTCAGGGAAAGCAATAAAAAAAAGTGATTTAACAACTGGATCTTTCTTACTGGCTGCGTTACTTTGTGAAGCTCACTATTACCAAGACAGAACCTTGCTCACTGTCTGGCAGGGAAACATTCTAGAAGAGATGCCTAAATCAAATGGTAAACAGGGTTATTGGAACCCAAAATTTCTGTTCAGATTCTCAGTCAACATGAGAGTGATTTTCTCTGCTGTCAGTAATAAAAATACAATATAGTTGAATCTTATCCACTGAATTTGAGGGTTAGGATTATAAGTTGTTTTGTGCCATAAATTTATCAATGTAAATCATCAATGTAATGTCATCTGGAAATCGTCCAACTTTATTCAGGGAATTATGACAAAGATTATTCCAATTGTGTGTTGCTGGTGAGGGAGTTTGATCATGAAGATACATTCTAGCCTTACCATAAATAAATGGGGAGAAAATAACATTTGTAACCTCATCTACTGAATTCTACTCCACAGCAGTTTAGATATAGCTTTATTTCTGTTACAATACATTGTTTCACAGTTAATGGCAAAATTAAGACATTAAAAGCTAACCTATACCAAAATGCAAGTTTTAGGAAGTGCCTCTCTTTGGTTATAAAAGCTTTAATAAATAATTCCGTGCCATATTTTACTACAAGAGATCTTATATTTTAGATTTCTATTTAGGTCCTTTCATGTATTTAACATTTTTACACTGAGCAACTATTGTGCATAGATTATAAGATTTTTGTGTATGTGTGTGTGTTCACAGCTAAATCTAAAAATTATCATTAATATTACAGTAACAATAAATTCCTGATATGAGGCTAGCAATTTTACAGAACAGAAATGTTCTCAGGTATAAATTATAGTTACCATATGTATACTTGGAAATTTTGCCGTTAATATAAGAAATCTATTTCATTTTCAAAGCACAACCCTTAAAATATATTGATGTGACTGAAGCAAGTCAAATGACTGGTGAGTTCCGAAGGCCAAATCTGTTTTAAATGGCTTGCTTGATTTCAAAGCATTGATAATTTTCATACTTCTGACGACACAATTCTTTCAAGGATTTCAGCCTATTCTATTGAAAAAAATCTCTGACTTGCATGTGGATTTTAATACAATTTTAACAGTACATATGCTTTAACTTCATTTCTCATCTGCATATGTGATCAGACTCAGTTACATTGCAGCTATATAATTCAAAGTGGCAGGTCCCCTGTGAATTTCAGAATGTTAGTGACACCATATATTCCTTAAAAAAAAAGGAAAAAGAAAGGACTAGTGGAAATTTCATTCTCATCATCTCTGCCATCAATGAATGTTTATTATGTACCTCTTATATTCTGCAAGCATTACTCATGTAGTAGCCGTTTCAATCCACTCCATCTTTTATGAATTGTTCATGGCCTGCCTTAAGGCGCATCACACATCCGGAGACCTAAATAGATGAATATTTTTACTGTGTATATTTAATTTCACAATATCATTAATGTGCACATTGTCAGTATAGACTTGGACTTCACTGACTGCTTTCATGGATGATGCTTCTGAGGAGGGAAATAGTATGTGATGTAAAGCTTTGGATTATTGTTATTTAAAGATGAATGTATTTACTGTGGCCAAAGTGTTTACACCAAGCAGTAAAATTAAAGAACCCACTGTTAGAGGGATGATATTTTCATTGTCTTGTGTTCCTTTTTCACTCACCCTCTGTCCTGCTGACTTAGATCACTTTTGTACAAGAGAAGTCTCTGCTTGGTACATATAGGTAAGCACCTGTTACTAACCTGGGAACAGGTTGTAATGGTAACTAACCTTATAAGGCTGGTAGTTCAGATTCCCCTAAAGGTACTTCAGCAGCAAGATCAGGGGAAAAAAAAAACAACAGCCATCAAAGATCCAAGCTCTTCATGCTCACACATGGGATCAACATGAGTCAGAATCTATAAAGCAGCAATTGGTTGGTTGGTTTCCACACAGGAAATGACCCTGGACCCAGATAGACTTAATTTTGAATCCTGGCTTTTGTCATTTGAGACTAGTCCTTTAATCTGTGATTCAACTTCCTGCCCTAGGAAATGTACAGACTATAATCTCTCTCATCAAGGTTGTTTTGTTTTTTTAAAAAAAAATCAGACAAATAGACATGAAATTCCAAGTAGAGTGTCTGGCACATAGATGAATGTAGCTAGTGGATGCTTTGTGGGACAGTATAGCTCTAGAAAATTCCCTGTGCAAAGCACAATGAGGAGGAAGGAGTTAAAAAAGCAGCCTCTCCAGTCACCCTGTCCAGGAAAGATGGAATTTTGTTGTTGAATGTGATGTTCTTAGATGGATAGGTGAGGAGGTCTTGCTATGGAACTAATGCATTATTTGCACAAGAACTAAAGAGTAATGAAGGATGTGTGCACACTCCTTTGAGGGCTTTAGGGTATGGGCTAATAGTAGAAGAGAGAGCTGGCCTGCCCATATTCTTGTAGTGAGAACATTAATCATTTCTACAACTGCCTTGTTCAGCTATTGATACCACTATACAATCATGCAGGGCTGCCCGTATATCCCTGCAGTGCCACAATGAGATGGCACCTTTCTGTCACCTCTCTTAGCCTTCTATTCCAAATTTTCTTTGTTTAATAAAACACATTTTTTGCCAGGTCCTGGTAGTAGAATACAGTAGTGTCTGACGCACTCACAAATCAGGCTATATATTAAGTCTATTAGATAGCGGAGCTCTGGATGCGACTTCTCTATTATTTTTTTTTTACTTTATTAAAGCAATCTAACACTGTGGTCAATTGACAGCAACATAATAGAGAAGAGATTGAGATTGTCAACAGCTTCAGATTGCTTGACTCCATAATCAACACTCTTGACACCAGTAGCCAGGAAATCAAAAGACGAATTGCATTGGTGATGCTTACTGTCAAGGACCTATCTAGAGTACTGAGGAGTACTTATGATGACAGAATAGACACTAATGTGCACCTGATCCATGCCATGGTCTTCTCAATCACTTGCTATGCATCAGAGAGCTGGACAATGAATAAGGATGATGGGGGGGGAGGAATCAATGATGGAGAAGAGTATTGAACATACCATTGACTGCCAAGTAAACAAACACATCTGTCCTGAAGAGGATAAAATCAAACTGCTCCTTGGAGGCAAAAAGTTTGAAGCTCTGACTCACATTCTTTGGGCATATGGCTAGATCAGATGGATCTTGGCAGAAAGCAGAGTACCAGAGGAATGTCTATCTGTGTTTCATTGACTATACAAAGGCATTTCACTGTGTGAATTACAACAAATTGTGGCTAACCTTGAGAAGAATAGAATCTCAGAACACTTGATTGTGCTTATGTGAAAGCTATACTTGGACCAGGAAGCAGTCATCAGAACAGAGCAAGGAAATGGTTCAAAATCAGGAAGGGAGTGCATCAGGGATATTATATATCTTGTCTCCATACTTTTTCAAATTATATGCAGAATAGATCATTCAGGAGGCAGAACTTTATGAGGAGGAATGTAGCATCAAGATTGGAGGAAGACTTATCAACAGCTTAGGTTACGCAGGTGACAACCTTGCTTACTGAAACTGAGGAGGACCTGAAGCACTTGCTGCAGAAGATCAATGACTGTAGTCTTCAATATGAATTGAAGCTCAACATCAAGAAGACAAAGATGCTCAACACTGGGCTAACTGGCAGCACCATGATAGATGGAGAAGAGATTGACGTTGTTAACAATTACAGCTTGCTTTTCTCCACAGTCAACTCTTAGCACTTGCACAATCAAAAGGTAAATTGCATTGAAAAAAATCTGCTGTCAGGGGCCTCTCCAGAGTACTGAGAAGCAAAGATGTCAGTCTAGAGACTAATGTGCACCTAATCCTCACTATCTTTTTCTCAATTACTTGCTATGCATCAGAAAGCTGGACAATGACTAAGGATGATAGAAGAAGAATCAAAACCTTTGAGTTGTGATGCTGGAGAAGAGTCATGAACATACCACAGACCACCAAGAAAACAAATAGTTCTGTCTTGGAGAAGATGAAACCAAATTTCTCCTTAGAGGCTAGGTTTTTGAGGCTTTGGGCATATGATCAGGAGAGACTAGACAGCGCGGGAGGGAAAGACCCCAGATGAGATAAATTGATACAGTAACTGGGGCAATTAGTGAGACTGGCTCAGGACAGGGCAGGGTTCAGAGACGCTACACACAGGGTTGCTATGACAGCACATAACAACAACAACAACAAATATATCAATATCATGACCATATTTCCTTAACTTATTCAAAGTCTGAATCAGACTCTATATATACACACAATTTCATTGCTTTAATTACAGGCTCAACTTTAAAGAAATAC